ATGGGATGAGGCAAGAGCTGCTGCAGCCAACAGAGAAAATTGGAGGCATTCTGTGGAGGCCTTATGTGCCACGAGGCACAAAGAAGCTAAGTGAAGTGATAGAGTAGAGCCATGCGGCAAAGACCTAATACAATGCCTATATTGAACCCTTCGGTATATCTATGAGAAATAGCAAGGAATTAAATGGCTACAAACCTCATGCGACCTCCATAGCCACTACCGGGACCGACACCATCACACGAGTCCATCAAACACGTAAGCAAAGCAAACACAAAGAGGAACTTGAAACAATGCATGGCGATAACAGTCGTTACTTGTCTTGCTTGCTAGAAGTTGATCTGAAATAAGATGTAGATTTCGTTTTAGAAGCACCTTAGCTAAAACATTAAACAGACATAAAATGGATATACTAACTGCGAACGATTCCGCACGAAATGGTGACTGTAAAGCCACTATATTTGCTCTAACAGATACGCTAGCAACCAAACAACAGGAGGGACTATTCATGTCTGCTGCATTTTAATTAATAAATATCCTTAGGTCAACAGCTACTGGGAAAACACCAATCACATACTCTCCCACTGATATTGCTGAGTGAGCGCATCATTAACCACACCGCAGCTTCAAACATATGAAATGAAAGTGCGCAAAGGTTGTTCATTCATTCTTCGCTGATTATTTGCCCATAGACAATTAAAATATTTTGCAGTTAGACTCCCAGTGAGATTAACAATAGTAACTGAAATGAGTGCAATGCAATTTGATCTGAAATCATGCGTGTGATCTCAAAATCGAACGAGCACTTAACAGATGTTCGATTTGCGTGATTTCAGTAGAAAACTACAACACACAAAGTCCAATTGCCACTTTATGACATCTATTTTGCTATCACTAAAAAAGTTAACGTTAAAAAGCAACGACGTTTCGACCGCTTGACGGTCATTTTCAAGTTGAAAAATAAAATTTTTGCATGCGCCCAAATATATACAATCGATTATAAGAATGCTAATGAGACACTGACTAAAACTCTAAAATATTTACATAGAAACAATACAAGAAAATTGGGGCATGAGTAATAAAAACGTCAAGGTGATAGAAACGATTTAATATATATAAATATATAAATATATAAATATATATAGATATATATCATGTTTCAGGTAAATATAAATAACCAGAAAAGCGGGCAATGTTTACTTGCAAGCTATGCTTTGGTAACCAAGTGGTTATACTGCCGGGTGGAAACGGTTTATCGCTGGTGTAGACGATATAGGTTCTTTTGAACGAAGAATTTAAAATATCGCACAGAGTTCCTTATACTTACAGTACAGTGAGCGAATCCAATTTACGGCTGAAAAACACAACTTCAATGCTCTACACACAACTTAACCACAAAACAGATTAGAAACTGCTTTATATTCAACGGCCTCGAGTTGTCCGTTAAAGCGAACCAATCATAGAGTCCTCCGACGTAATTGCGTGACAAGCGTTCTGACCTCGACGCCACAGTTACAGATATCTATCTGCTGGCCAATCTCAAATAATCATGAACTTATCCTATCTAAGCGCGACTCAGGAAATAACACGTCTCCCATATCTACCATCGTTTGATTCTTCCTTTGAATCGCGTACTTATTTAACAATTATTCGCCAAAGGCGAAGTGAACTGGTGAATATTCACCTCGATTTCGCCTCGGGAAACATCAGGACTCTCGGGAAAACAAAACTAACTGTTTCGCTCGGGACCATACATCAAGGTGGCCGAACCTGTGTTTCAATCTCCTTTTTCTCTAAAACCCTTGATCCTTTGGTCGCCAAAAATGGCAACACGCAAGTTAACAACACAAACTTCGGATTTTTCATAGCTAGGCTGACGTGTGTGCCGTTGCCATGGCAACATGAATAAATATAAACAGGCCTTTAAAATCGGTTTTGTTTATTTGCAGAAAATCTAGTCGTTAGATTTTCTTTTTCATTTACATGCAACAAGATTGTAACAATGCTCAGAAGTTAACACCATTTTAACAATAGTTTAACAGAAGGATATTTAATTATCATTTGTAGAAGTTTAACTGGAATATCTAGAATCGCCCCTGTCAATTTTCAATTTTTTTTCCATATTCCAATTACTTGTTTTCTAAAGTATTTTCGTGCGAAATTTCGTAAAATTCTAACGGGTGGTTCTCGAGAAATATGCGTATTTCCAAGAGAGCTATTCCGCATTCAATCGCAATTTTTTGCCTTACTAAAATGCGCTGCATTTAACTGAGTTCTTTCGGTAAAAAAGAAAAATCTGAAAATTGCTGGGTTCTTTGCATCGTTACCTTTTCTAACATACATTTTTGACAAAAAGAGTAAAGCCATAAATACACTGTGTTCAATTATGAAGAAAAAAAAGTACAGATGGCGAGGGCATTGCCCAAGTAAAATGATCGCTGTATTGACGCCATGGTTGCTTTGTGTAATCCTTGTGCGCGCCCTGAATGGCATTAGCAAGAGCGCGCGCGGAAATTGTGTTCGGCCACCTTAAGTGTATATTAATGTTCACTGAGCCTGAGGCGAATAATTGTTTCAGTATAATTTTCAGAGGTGAATATAAAGGACTACAAATTAACGGACTAAAGCATAAAAACACAGACGTAACAGTTCGTGTGCATACGCGTATGCAGCCGTAGTTTTAATAATAAGCTTAGATGTACATCGATTGTCAATCAGTTTACTCATCGAGTTCGGCAATAAAACAAACGAGCAAAATATTATGCCGGCGAAGCGAAACGTATCGCAGAGCAGAGGGATGAGAGCTAGAACTAGCTAGCAAATAAAATATGTATAAGAAAGAAACCTCGGTAGTTATGGGAGAAAAAAAAAATACATAAAATAACAGCAAATCTTCTGTGGCGGCCGAGGCATTGTGCCGCTACGAAACACGGCTCCATTAAACACACACAAGCAACGAAAACACAAAGAAGAACTTGAACCAACGCATGGCGATCACAATCTTAAATGGTCTTGCTTGCTAGAAGCTGCTCTGAAATAAGACATGCTAAGTTCGTTATAGTTGCGGTTAAGGCCTCTAATCTGACTAAAGAAATATAGATTTGCTGCAACTCCGTTCATTAACTTATCAGTATCTCAAGCTGCAATTCACCACGCCAAACGTGTTAGTTTCCAGATGGTTACTAATAAGTAAGTTTATCGATAGCCACGGAAGGGACCCATCTGGGCTTACTTAGGAAAAGCGTTCGAAGTATACTTACTGCGAGCAAATCTTCGAATTTCTGGCTATCAAAGCAGTTTGAATAACGCTAAAAGAAGAAAAATTAAAAGAATGATCCAAAAGAGAATTAAAACAGAACCAGAAGCAAATGGTTTGAAGTATATTTCCATCACCATGGATTTATTCTAATCGAATTGTGTCGTCTTCTATTTAGCCAGCGGGTAACCTAGGGAGTGATGAACCTTTTGCAGCATCGAAACCAGCTTTCGCTTAATCTTGGTGATGTCCTAACCAGGCCTCTTTCTTTGCAACTTCTAGCTCTCTTGCATCTGGGGAATAAATACAATCTTTTTCCGTGAATCAAGACAGGAAAACAGGCATTGCATGATCAGACGCCGAGCTATGTTCATTGTTAAGAAAGAGACTTGAACATTGCTTGCTTCCCACTGAACCAAAAACTCTGAAGGGACAAATCGTAAGGGGATTTCGTGGGAAAGGTTCCAGAAAATCCGAAAGTTTTTGAATTTCCCGAGAATCGAACCATTCAACCAAAAATTCCAGAAAGACCACAATGAATAGCAATGAAACGGAAATTTCCATGCATTATTTTTTTTCCAAAGACTTTAGATATACCTCAAGAAATTATCCTCTTTTTCGGAAATTATGTAAATTCGCAATTTTCTATTCAGCGCTAGTTGTTCTTGTCGCGATCACACTGAGCGAGTTGGACATCCCACGCATAGCTGACGGCCACGCATATTCGAAAATGGATGAGTATTTTACTTTAGAATCTTGACACTTGCCTGCCGAGGAATACAGCTAATACGTCAAGAAAGTGTTCAATTCCAATAAAAGAGTATGCCCCGTGTGGTGTACTTGTTTGTTTTGCATAGGTTGGCTAGGAAATGTACATGGATTTATTTATATTTTGGGACGTTTTCGCTGTCATTGTGGTTTGTATAAGGTAGGTCCCAGCTGATTTGTCTGAAAGTCACGTTGTCGCTGACATCTCAGTGTTTTGTTTGCTTCTACATGTATATTTGCGGATTTAAATCTCCAAGTCATTGAATAATTCCAAGTGAACAAAAGGGCGGTGGACTCAGCCATTTTCAGTTTAAGAGAAAAAAAAAAAAATGAAACGCGCCTATCGTTTTCTACTCTGGTGCGGTCAGCCGAAAGATTCTGTCCCATTCCCCCCCAAGAAATTTCCGGAAATTCACAGCGGAATTTTTAGTCGAATGGAAAGCGTCCATTGTTCACTCTCATAACCAGCGAAACATAGGGTGCTTACCATTTGGCCAAGAAATCCGGAAGTTTCTGTTGAAAGTCAAATGGAACAGCAATTTTCCGGAATATTCGTTCGGAAATTGTAGACTACCTCTAGAAGTAATCTTTGTTTTCGCTCGGAACGGAACGGCGGAAATTTCCTCAGTACCACTTGCTTAATTTTCCAATACCAGTCTTTCATCAGCCGAAAAAAAATTACGGGAAATCGAATTGTAAATGCTAAGACCCATCTCGTTCGGTTACTGAGTTTGTTGATTTTGGAAAAAAAACCTCCCCATTATTAAATGGTTTTCCCAACCCGTTTATTCAGACAAATGGTAAGCACCCTTGAGATTCCCCTCTATCTGCTCGGTGAGAGACGAGAGGGGAGGAGGCGCTCTCTCGTCTCTCGCCGAGCAGAAAGAGAAGGGAATATCTGTCTCGCAGAGTAGAGCTCTTGATAATGAGACGAGGAACTAAGAACTAATGACTAATAACTAATAACACGTATTCGTGAGGGTCGGAATCCAATAAATCTTACGATCTAATCGGCTGCGGGAGGGGGGGGGGGGGGGGGGGGGTTTTT